CTCAGGGCTTAGTTACACCCTCTTCCCCCGGGCCCTGGGGTCCAGTTGGGGCGCGCTCCCTATCTGACCGCTCGGGTTCCAGACCCCACCCCTCGCGAGGGTCCCTCTGTTTCGTGTTTTTTTTTTTTTAATTAAAATAGGTAAAATTATTTTTCTGTAGCTGCAATTTACTAGCGGAATTTGGTTAAAGCCTAAAGAGAATGAATGAAAACACCATGGAAATGGGCACCATTGTGGGCAAAAATCTATGCCAACTAAATTTTGTCACTGTCCAAGGATCCCGCTGTGGTCAGAAATTCTAATCTCTGCTCAGTGGCAGATGGAGAGGAGATGATGCGGGTTTTGCTGGGGAGGGAGGCATTAGGGTCTGGAGGGGAGGGCGTATCTGCCAGGAGCCACTTACTTTTTTTTTTTTTTTTTTTTTTTTTGAGACCGGGTCTTGCTGTGTTGCCCAGATTGGAATGCAGTGGCACTGTTACAGCTCACTGCAACCTGGACCTCCCGGGGCTAAGCCATCCTCCCTTGTCAGCCTCCAAAGTAGCTGGGTCCACAGGCGTGCACCCACCACTCTGGGCTAATTTTTTGTACAGATGGGGTCTCCCTGTGTTGCCCAGCCTCAGCCTTCCAAAGAGCTGGGATTACAGGATGAGCCACCTCGACTGGCCTAGACACTCTAAATGGTGAAGTGGGAGCTTGAGGGCTGCCCTGGCCTCCTTTGCATCCCCTATCCTTCAGGTTCCTTGAGGCCTTCCCTGACCACCCAGTAGAAAGCATTCTGCTCTTTTTTTTTTTTTTTTTTTTTTTTGAGATGGAGTCTCACTCTGTGGCCCAGGCTGGAGTGCAGTTGCGCGATCTCAGCTCACTACAAGCTCCGTCTCCTGGGGTTCACGCCATTCTCCTGCCTCAGCCTCCCGAGTAGCTGGGACTACAGGCGCCCGCCACCGCACCCGGTTAATTTTTTGTATTTTTAGTAGAGACGGGGTTTCACCGTGTTAGCCAGGATTGTCTCGATTTCCTGACGAGATCCGCCCGCCTCGGCCTCCTAAAGTGCTGGGATTACAGGCGTGAGCCACCACGCCGGGTCTCATTTTTTCTTTTGAGATATCTCAGAATTGTCACACAGGGTTGGGGTTGGAGGCCAGTTATCCCAGTGCCCTTTTCACAGTGCTCCTGATTTCATATTCCAAAGCAAGCCTGAGCTCCATTAGCAGTGTTCTTGCTGCACCATGCAAACCGGTGCTTGGGCAGCTGGGTTCTGGATCAAGAGCCACTTTTACATCAGTCTTTGTGACATTGATCCTTGGTGATTTTGATCCTGGCTGATTTGGCCAGCCGTTCTAGCACGGCAGTGCCTCTAAATGTCGTGCCTCTCCTAGGCTTGTGAAGATTCGGTGACAAGGTACAGGAAAAAGGGCTTAGAAGAGTGCCCCGCATTTTATGAGCTACTCTGAGAAGTCTCAGCTTTTCCTCTCAGGTTTGGCCGTTAGAGAGTTGTCAGGCAAGCCTCATCTGCAGCCTGAGATCCTCAAAATGTCACAGTCTCTTTGCTTTTGGGCCCTACGCATGCCGCAGGCCGCTCTGCCTGGAAGATTTTCTTGATTATGGGCGTGTACCTGGCTAATTTTTGTGTTTTTGGTGGAGATGGGGTTTCACTATATTGGCCAGTCTGGTCTTTAATTCCTGACCTCAGATGTTCTACCTGCCTTGGCCTCCCGAAGAGCTGGGATTACAGGCGTAAGCCACTGATCCCAGCCTGGAAGATGATGATGATGATGATGATGATTATTATTATTTTGAGACGGAGTCTAGCTCTGTCTCCCAGGCTGGAGTATGGTGGCATGATCTCGGCTCACTGCAAACTCCGCCTCCCGGGTTCATGCCATCCTCCTGCCTCAGCCTCCCGAGTAGCTGGGACTACCGGCGCCTGCCAGCACGCCCGGCTAGTTTTTTTGTATTTTTAGTAGAGATGATCCTGTTAGCCAGGGTGATCTCGATCTCCTGATCTCGTGATCCGCCCACCTTGGCCTCCCAGAGTGCTGGGATTACAGGCGTGAGCGACCACGCCCGGCCTGCAAGATTATTTTTAAGTCCCCAGACTTCTGTCACAAGTTGCTTCCCACCCTCAGGTGGAATGTTACCTCCTCTATGGGGAACATCCCTGTCTACTCTGTGGAATGTGGGTCCTGGGTAATTCTCTAAAACAGCTTGTTTGTCATTGCGCTTGCCACAATTTTATCTATGTATAGTTTGTATATACACTTGTTTGTTGCCTGTCTCTTCCTCTTGACTGTAACACAGGTGACTCTTGCATTCACCACTCTTCCCCATGGCCTACAGTAATTTACATGTGGTAGATACTTAAATTTTATCTGTTGAATGAATTACTCTCAGTCATTATTATTATTATTATTTGAGACTGTCTCACTCTGTCGCCCAGGCTGGAGTGCAGTGGCACGATCTCAGCTCACTGCTAGCTCCGCCTCCCGGGTTCATGCCATTTTCCTGCCTCAGCCTCCCAAGTAGCTGGGACTGCAGATGCCCGCCACCACGCCCGGCTAATTTTTTGTATTTTTAGTAGAGACGGGGTTTCACCCTGTTAGCCAGGGTGGTCTCGATCTCCTGACCTCAGCCTCTCGAAGTGCTGGGATTACAGGCGTGAGCCACCGCGCCCTGCACTCTCAGTCATTATTAAAAATATTGAACACATGCCACGTCAGAGCCTTGGTATCAGTATTAATGCTGATCTGCACATCCCATCCTAATTTTTACCCCAAGAATAGCTCCTCCATTCAGGGAGCGGTAGACAGGAAGAACAAAACAGGGGCTGTGGATCTTTTGACACTTTCTCAGAAATAGTTCACAGACTGTGGTGTGAATTCTTCCCTTCCTGTCACTTTTCCCATTTGGCCCCGTGCCCAGTGTGGCTCCCTACATGCTAGACTTAGCACTCATGGTAACCTTGGTCCCGCTCTTCTAGGACCCCAACGCAGACACTGAGTGGAATGACATCTTACGCAAAAAGGGTATCTTACCCCCCAAGGAAAGTCTGAAAGAACTGGAAGAGGAGTCAGATGAGGAGCAGCACATCCTCCAGCAGTCAGTGGGTGAGTTCACTGGCTTTCCTCTGCATCTGTCTGGGTTAGGAGATGGCTCCCTAAGCCTCTGACTGCCCTCTCAGGAGCCAGCATGGACACTGTGTCTGTGGGACCTCAGACGAGACACAGGGCATCTCTCAGCTTCACCTTCCTGAGCCACAGACTTAACGGGACTTCAGATGTGTCCCACAAGTCCTTGTCCATGTCAGATGAGAACTGAAGAAAATACTTCTTTCTGCTTTCTGGTCTGTGATTCCCTTTGATAATGTCATGGAAATTTGTTCAAGATTTTAGTATTTGTATTTTTTCCTGAGCATTTACTTTATTCTCTGGTTTCATTGAGGATGTTAACTAAAAATAGCTTCATTTGGGGAAGCATAAAATGTTTGCAATGTGTGGGAGTCTGAGGGGGGTTTTCTCAAAGGCAGTCATACTGTCTGGAGTCCCTTGGAGTGCTGGTAACCCCACCCACCTAGTGTTTACTGAAGCAGTCTCTGGAATGAGGCCCAGGAATCTGCATTTTAAACAAGTGCCTTAAAGGATTCTGAGGCTTGTCATAGTTTGAGAAGCATTGGTCACAGGGACTAGTACTTTTGTCCTCTGACACATTACAGCTAATATAGAGAAGGATTTATTAGAAAGTATCCAGCGAGTGGTTACTGCATGATTGTCATTGTCAGCTGCTTTTCTGGGTTTGGGGATGTAGCTATGCATAAGCCAGACACAATTCTCTGCCCTCAGGGAACCAACATGCTAGTGGGGGAGACAGACAGTAAACAATAAAGAAAATAAGGCAGTAAAAGGGACTCGAAAGGGTTGGAGGAGAAGCAGGGTCAGAGAGGGCCACACCGAGATGACATTTGCATGGACCTGAAAGAAGTGTAACTGGCATGTGGGTAAAGACCTGAAGGAGCTGAAGAACGCATTTGAATAGACCTCAGGGAGTTGTTGACCTGAAGGAGGTGAAGAAGACCTCTGGGTATTCCTGAAGGGGGCGATGTGAGCGAGTGAAACATGGGCCCTGGCATGGCTGGGAATCCCTGACGAGGCTGGAAGTGCTGTGGGAGAGTGAGTTCAGAGCAGCCTCAGCAGACCCAGTAGCTTCTAGTAAGGACCTTGGCCTTTACACCTAATGAGGCAGGAAGCTTTTGGAAGTTTAAACAGAGGAGGGACATTTTCTCTTTTTTTT